CAGTGCCTGCAAAGTACAATCAATATCATTAAAAATTGCAGAGCGGTGTAAGTCGGTGGAAAGTTTACTAACGGAAACGAGATTGCAAGCCAGATTTGGTACGAAGAGGACATTTTTAAGTACAATCTGGTCATTGAGAATAACAGTGCCATGTCCTTCTATTTTGCACAAGGAACCATCAGCCGTTTTGACAGCTTTACCAAAATTTGGAAAAAATTGCAAAACAAATCCTTATTATCAGTCATATGATCCGTAGCACCAGAATCGAGGATCCAATTAGGGGTCGACTGGGAGGAGAAAAATTGTAGCATGAGGTTTACCTTCTGGTTCTTTCATGACCAGATTACCTTCTGATTGAGCAGTAGAACCAGAAAAATTTTCTGGATTCGAAGTGATCTCCGGAGTAGGAGAAGAAGTTGTGAACATCGTCTAGGTTGGAAAGAAACCGTAACCTAATATGATACCATGTAGAAATCAGAGTAATTCTCTGTATTTTCATATTATTTTCAATAGGACAGATTACATATTTATATACAAATTATCTCTCTAAAGTAGGAAACACTTAAGAAAGAAAATTACTAATCCTAGGATGTGATCCCTTAAAATAAGGGATTGTATAAATATATGTACAAAATCCCTTAATTAAAGGAATGATATCATATCATCTATAATTCCTACATAAAAACAAAGAACAAATAATTAATACATTTCCAGTAAATTAAATAAGTTTACATGCAGTTTAATACATGCTCTATCTACATTGAAATGCATAAAATAAAAATGTTACTATATTTTAATCTTTGCTGCTGATTATATCATATTCTCATCATACTCTGTGGTTATTTTATATATAAAAATTAAGAATAAAGTTATCAAAGACAGTGACAACTTTATATTATAAAAACATGTCAAGCTCAACACTTAGGAAATTAAGCAACTAAGTAAAAAAAATAGAATATAGTGAATATTGCAGTATAATAAGTAATTCAAAATGATGACTCTTAACAATTCCATGTATAAATAAGGATTAATACTTTTTTAAAGAAATAGTTTAGGGTTTCAACTAAAAAATGATCACTCTTAACAATTGCTATATTTTTATAATGCCATGTGTTCTACAACTTGAAACATTAAATCCTCAAGTATTTTATAATTTTTAAGATCCAAACCATGCCTAAACAAGCCTTCAAAGTGTGTTTCTCTTTGTTTATACTGATCTTATTGTTAGTAAACTATTGGGTTTTCACAAATTCAACTAAGCAGTAAACAATATGTTCTAACAATATCAAAATAAGTAAATGACAGAATCTGCAAACAAATTTGCAGAATCTGCATAAGTATATTAATACTGCAAAAAAAATAGAAAACAAATTTTTGTTGTTGACTACCTTAGTAGATCTGCACTGATTTTCAACTTTGTTATGTCACTTCGAACCGAACAATTGAAGCAGTTTCTCTCGCTTCAACTACAAATTACAAATTACAAAGTTTGAACTAATTACAAAGAAATAAGTAGAAATAAATGTAACAAAAGTTTGATAACTTACCAGTTCGAAAACGCGCAAACTAAAAAAATGAATACCGTAAGATTGAGAAGTTCTTGAGGAAAAATAATAGAATTTCAGATTTTAGAATATAGAATATAGAATATAGAGAGTAACAACCGTTTATAAAATTAGGATTTTAGGGTTCTTTCGACAAAAGTTTTCTTTTTAACTAATTTTAACATTTTTATTTATTTTTAGGGGTTTAAGTTAATTGGGTCTTTAATGGGTTTAAGTTAATTGGTTAAATAAATTAGGTAAAGTAGCGTATGGGTTTGGATTGCAGGATTGGAGCAGATTGGTCTAAATATATATAAATAATTTATATATATAATATTTAATAATTTCGGTTGAATCGGTTAATTTGATTAATTAACTGATTTCGAATCGAATTAATCGATAATTGAACTTTGAAAAGAAATTAACTGTTAACCGACCGAACCTTATATTAATCGATTGATTAATAAAAAAATTGGTTAGGTCAATTTTATCGATTAACCGAAATTTTGAACACCCCTACTCGTTCCCCTTCCATCTCCGACAGGGATGGAGCTAGGATTAGATATTGGAAGGAGCCGAAATATTAAATTTTTTAAGAAAAAGTACAATAATTTATTAGGTATTTAAACTTAAAATTCATAAGACAATACTTAGTTTGTCTAATATTTAAACTTACACTGACCTAAATTGTTATTCGACCAAAAATTTTGAAAACATGGGATTATCCTTCTTTAGTTCAACCCCTACTTCATTAAATATTTAATAAATTTTTATATTTTTAAAATTTAAATGCTTTATTTTTATGTGAACAAAAATATTATTAGATCAAAATCTATCGAATATATAAAATTTTTACAAGGGATGGGGCCCCTTTGTGACCCAGCAAAGCTCTGCCTCTGATCTCCAATAAGTTTAAATTAACGATCAAAAGTTTGATTTTTTGTTTTCGCATAAAAGCTATTCTCAACCTCTAATGGCAGGAGTGAAAAAATGAGAACGAGAGAAAAAGGTAAATATAAAAAAGGCAAGAATGAGTCAAAAAATTGGTCAATTTTCGTCCAGCATGGTGAAACAATGCTAAATAAATCAGTTTAATATGTCACTTCAGCATTTTGTCATCTATGATAATGTTTGTTCACGATAAGTGATCGATTTGTATACTCTATTGTGTAAAAGGGTTTATATGGATCATAATCCTAACAAGTATCTAAAACATTTCCATGACATTTCACATCTAATTATTTATCATTGAGCATCATAAAAAATTAAAAAAAAAACTCCATTAATCTAGTAGTATTATACATGCAATATTATATATGCAATATCTTAAATGCTCAAAACAATATGAACAATAATGCACACATCAAACTAACAAATGTAATATGACAAATGCAAATATGAACAACATAAATGAATGACACAATAAAAACAACACAAATGGATAACACACCCCAAACTTAAGATGTGCATTGTCCTCAATGCATGCAACAAGAAAACAATGAAAACGTGAATATAAGTAAATGGGAGAAAGGAAACAATACTCCCCTAGTGAGTCTTTCTTTGGATGGGAAAAGTTGGGTGGATCTTCTTTGCTGATGTCTTCTTTTCAGTTACATTTTTTTCTTGTTGGTAAATGTGTTGCATCAATGATTATCTGTAACTTTAGCTGATGTTGTGAAACAAATACATCATGTGATGATTGATGGTGCGATGATCAACGTGGAAGCATGACTTGATAAGAAAAGAAAAGAAAACTAATAAATAAAAAAATCTAAAAAAATAAAAATAAAATAATAAAATAAAAATATAAACTAGTTAGGCTTGAGTTCATAGAACCATATCAAGGTAATGTGCTAGGTATATTACAACACAATTACATGCTCCAACATTCCTCCAAGTGTGCTTGTCTTGTTCCCTCGATAATGCCAACATCATAACATTAAGCTTCTTCATTGTTGTTCAATGGGTTGAATACATTGAATATAATTTGTTGGTCATTTAGACGCATTGTAAGTTTTTCTTTGTGGACATCAATAAATGTTCGTGTTGTAGCAAGGAAAGGTCTACCTAGTATTATTGACACATCCTTGTCAATTACATATTCCAAGAAAATGAAGTCTCTTAAAAGATGAACTTGTCCAATTGTACTAGCACATTCTCTATTTTCCATTTGGGATGAGCAATGGATTGGTCAAGAAATTGTAATGCAACAGTTGTGTTTGTTGCTTCAATCCCAAATTTCTTAAAAATATACAAAGGTATTAAGTTAATGTTGGAACCTAAATTACACAACGCTCTAGCAATGAATGATTACCAATAGTAAAAGGAATAATAAATATCCCCATATCTTTAAACTTTAATGGCAATCTTCGCGTGATAATCGTGGTATGTCCTTCTTTGAGTGCAACCGTTTTGAACTCACCAGTGCCATGTTTCTTGGAAAACACTTCTTTCATGAACTTAATATAATACGACATTTGTTCCAATGCATTAATCAATGAGATGTTGATCCTTATTTACCTTAGCACATCAAGTGACTTTTTAAATTGTTGGTCCTCCTTGGTGTTTTGAAATCGTTGAGGGAATAGAGATGGTGGCCTTCATTTAGGTTGTAGTGACAATTGTGGTGGCATCATAGGTGGTAGTGTTGTTGGCATTGCTCGTGGCAATGGCTTAGAATTACTACACTGGCTAACATCCTTTGTCACAACATCAATGTTGGGTGGCTCAATCTCTACTTCTAGCTTCTTGCCTTTAACTTGTTGCCTAAGTCTCGCATCCTCTTTCTTTTTGAGCTAATCATTCTTCTCAAGTTGGAGTTTATTGCTCATTGTGACGACTTTGCAATGTTGGTTACAAGTAACTTTAGTGTCACTTGGCAATACTTCTTGGCATGGTGTTCACCACATTATCCAACTATCCCATTTAATTCTTAAATGCTCTTAACAATGTTGTCTAGCTTTGAATGTTAACAAAATTCCTTCAGATATGCTTCATCAGCAGAGACTCAAGTAATGTCAATGTTGAGTCTTTGTTGAAAGTTTACTCTTGATAGTTCTACTGGTTGTTGCATTATTGTGGTTGCATTAATTAATGATGCGTATGTTGATATGGCAGCATCGATTGTTGTTGTGCATACTGTTGTTGCGACTGATGTTGTGGATGTGTATTCTCAAAATATAGATTCAAAGATTCATTAAAGCATGTTACATCTTGACTTTGATGACATTCCTCAAAAGTATTGGTAGCATCATTGTTCAATACTGTAGCGTTGTGTCTACTCGACATAATTCTTTTATTAGGATATTGATAGTCATTATTGTAGATTCTTTCAAGTATTTCATAGGTTTCGTTGTAAGACTTATCCAGCAATGCTTCATTGGCAGATGCATTGTAATAATTCTTGTTTACATGTTAAGACCATTGTAGAATATATTCATTTGTGTCCAATGCTGAAAATCATGCATAGGGCATTTTCACAGTAAATCTTTAAATCACTCCCAAACTTCAGATAAATTCTCATCTTCCAATTGCTTAAAAGATGTGATGTCATTCCTCAATCAAGCATTCATGTTGGGAGGATTAAATTGTACCAAAAACTTTTAGGCAAGCTTATTCCATGATGTTATAACTCTAGGCAGCAACAAGCTAAGCCACACCTTGGCTTTTTCATGAAGAGACTAGGGGAAAATTTCAGCTTTAATACTTCCTCGAGCACCCCTTGTTGTACAAAAGAGTCGCACACTTCCTTGAATTCTCTAAGGTGTTCTCTAGGATCCTCGATAATTGAACCACTATATTGTACCATACACTACAACATTCAGATCATTACGGGCTTCGGCTCAAAATGGGCATTATGAAGGGTTGATCGATGATGCCAGGATTTAGATCATTTAAGGTCGAAACAACATGCTCTCAGATTGGCCTGTTGCGATCACCGATGTTGTAGTAATTTTGTGACATAAAAATATTTTGTAAATGAGGTACACCATATTGAGCTAGGTTTAGTTGTTGTTGATGTTATTGCCTCATTTGGTGGATAGTTCGCTCGATTTTCAGATCAAATGATTCTAAGTCCTCGATGTTGTTGCGTGTGATGCAATAGCAACGCTACGCTAAAAAAAGTTCCTAAAAACTAAAATAAACAAAGTTAGTGAAAACAAAGAAAATAATTCTAATGCAATACCATTACTCCTCAACAACGACGCCAAAAACTTGATGCTACGAAATTGTTACATTATTCAACGCATGAGCAAGTGTCATAAACCAAATAATAAAGTGGAAAGTTTAAGAGTTTCGAGTATTGAACCCACATAGAGCAAATAATTACATCTTATAATTATTGATTCTTTGTAAAAGATAGGTTTGGAATGAAATAGTGATATGTTTATAGAAAAGGTAAAATTTCATAATATTAAAGGCAAGGAATGCAATATCAAATAGGAGAGAAAATATACCACTGGACCAATGAATGTTGTTGTCATCTGATAGTTTCTAATATGATTATGTTATGGCAATATGATTATATGTTGTGCAAAGATTAACACATTAATCCCCTTTCAGGAATTAAACATTTAACTAATAGAAAATAATTTTTCACTAACCTCATTAATCAAACCATTAACAAACAACGACAATCGGTAGTATATATCTTTATATACTTAAAATCACTTTCACAAATATCGATGTTGTAAATAAGTAGCATGCAACCTTAATGATTTATATCTAAAAAAACCCAAGATTGACGTATATAAAGATATTTCTATTTGTAAGAATATCAAATGAAGTTTCAACACATAAAAATATTGTTTCAAGAAAAAATCATAAAACAAACATTTCATCAAACACCTTATGTTCAAATCCAAACAACACCATAAAAATTAAAACATTAAAACTAAACAAAGTTTCTTCCCTCTTTCAAGTAAAGACACTAAGAAGCTTTAACCCTGAATGGTCATTACTGCTACGACGACGTTGATGCTCTAGTTGCTGCTATACTTTCCAACAAATTCAAATCTCCATGGCCGGTGAAGGAAAGAAAAAAATAAAATAGACATGAAGAAAGGTTGAAGAAGGGTGTGAAAAGTGTAAAATGAGGCCTTATTTATAATCCTTAAAGGTTAAAGCATATACCAATAAGGTGGAAGAAGGGTGTGAAAAGTGTGAAATGAGGCCTTATTTATAATCCTTAAAGGTCAAAGCATATACCAATAGGAAAAATATGATTTTTCTATATTTCCATCCATTTTACAGTTGTATTGGACATATGTTCAATTCTATAATTTTCTAAAACTGTATGTTAAGTCATTAGTTGCTACAAATGCAGCTCATCAATCCAATACAACATCAGTACGCAACAACATCTACAACATCAATAATGTTATAGCATTAGCGTACCAAATTGCAAAAAAAATATCATAAAATAATACAAAAATATAAACTCACTCCCAATGTACAAATGATTTAAAATATGATAAAATAAACCTAATATGATCCCAATGATGCTAGAGTTCAAGCTTAACCTAGGTAAAAAGGTCCTAAAAGATAACTCTTTTGGAGAGTTATCAATTAGCCTTGTTACAATTATATGAATCTTGTGGAAATGATGCTAAAGCAAAAAAATGAAGTAGAAAGTTTAGCTACTCTTCAAAGTTTTGAATTCTTACATGGAATGGTTATTTGGTATGATATTTTATTTGCTATCAAAATGGTAAGTAAGAAATTGCGATCTAAATCAATTTGCATTGATACTACTATAGAATAGTTGAAAAATGTAATTTTATATTTTGAAAACTATAGAAATAAGGGGTTCCTAGTATAAATATTGCTAAAAGTCTTGTATTGGATATGACCATAGTGTCATTTTTTTGACTAAGCGACATATTTTTAGAAAAAGATAATTTTATAAGAATTATCATGATGAAGAAATGCAATCAACAGATGAGTCTTTTATAATTAATTATTATTGTTATTGTTATTGATATGATGCTTTATTCTTTGAAAGATAGAGTTGAGTAACTTACAATTTTTGAAAATTATTTTATATTTTTAATTGATTTTATAACGTTGAAGTTATTGGATGATAATAAATAAATATAATGTTATAATAGTTTTAATATTATTTTTCTCATAATAATTTGTCGGATGCTGATGTAAATAATTTTTTTTCTAAAATGAAAGTTTTGCAATTGACTTTATCAAATATGTTCATGTCAGCGATTGAAATTCTTGAGTTTATTAAAGCTACAGATTGTTATCATAATATTTCAATTGTTTATCGAATCTTATTAACAATGCCGATGACAGTAGGATCCGTGGAAATAAGTTTTTAAAAGCTAAAATTATTGAAAAATTTGAGGTCAACAATATCATAAGATATATTGAATGGGCTAGTAATGTTATGTATTGAGAAAAAAATGTAACACATTAATCTGATATGACTCAAGATCGACCTATTAGAATGTCACAAGATACCACTATAGTGGGCAATCCTAAAAATATCCTTTAAAACCTTTGTAAAACATCATTAAAAGACCATTCAATAAAATATAAATCCAACATAAGTAGTTACGTTTACAAGGGGACCTCCCAAAATACAAATATAAAAAAATAATACAAATAAGAGTTTAAAATAGAGTTACGACTCAAGTACAAGAAGGTCTATGAATAATACATGCCCTTGATAACTCCGTAAAAAGACTATATTTTAGGTCTTTTTACTTAAGTTATTGATTGTCTAAAAGACATTGACATGGCATTTTAGCTGAATATAGTTTCATTTAGGACATATTTTTCATGTAGTGGATAAGCTTTGCCGAGGTAAAGTTTATTTGATTAAACTGATGATGTTAATGAGAAAGGTTGTTTGTTGATTATGATGATGCAGAAAATGACTGAGGAAGAATTTATTTGCCGAAACAAATTAATTTTCTAGGGCCAGTGGAACACAAAAGGCGAAGAGAGTGAGGAATATATTTTTCTTTCCAAGGCAAGATTTATCTTGCAAGTCTGACGTGGATATGATGAACTGCTGACGTCACATGGCCAGTTGTCCAATCTACCTCATGTGCAATCAAGTCCCTAAGATTATGACAACAACCAGCTGCCTTTCCATTTATAGCTTGGACAAGAAAACTCGAGTATTTAGGGAATATTTAATGATGTGAAACCCTAGGAAAATTCCATTAATAAATACCCAGTCATAGCCACCAAAAAGGAAGGACGGGGAGAATCATACAGAGAAAATACCCTAGGTTTGGAAAAAAGGTGGTCGCGACGTCCTTTTTTTCACCATCCCTACTCATCCGTCCTTGGTACACTCCATAGCTAGGCTTCATCGGGGTGGCGGTCAGGCCCTCGAGAGAGCTCGTGCACTAGAGCAGTTATGGTGGTGGTTTGATGTCACGATAGAGCTTTGTTCTAGGAGTGTTTCTTCCTTTTGTTCTTCATGTTTTATTTTTCTAAGGGCTTGTACTTAATGAATATTTTTGGGATGATGTTAACCACACCATAAACTGTTTTATTTGGTGTTGGGAATGCTTGGATGATATTTTATTTTACCGTTAATGAATGATTAAGTATGTTTTTGTTAAGTGTTGTTTTGTTCACTGTTTTAACCTTTTGCCTTGACACTGTTAGAGCTTCGAGAGATTGCCTAGAGCCTAGGTGAAATATTTCTAGACCTTGTAAGAGCTTTTGAGAGATTTTCGTTTTTCTAGAAATATAATCTTAGATTCGAGAGAATTAAGATAGATCTACGTGAACAATGGAGTGGATCCGGGATGGTGATGTTCTAATCTGCCTACCTTAGAGATAAGGAGAGTGTTTCAATCGACTAAAAGAGATAAATGCTGGAGTAGGATAGACAATGACTATAGTTCACGCTGAGGGGTATTGCCATAACAATAGTCTAACAAACCAAGGGTTATAGCTCACAGCAAGTAGTATTTCCATAGTAACCGTCTAAGAATACTCAGTAATCCTGTCTGGCAGCCTAAGCATAGCATACTGAATCATTCTTAGCATAAAATAACTTCTCGCCATAGAAAAACCAAACTAAGTGCTTCGTTAGAAGTCTGATTGTGTTAGCTTTCCAGTTTATTTATAGAGTTTTGATATTTTTAGCCTTGACAGCTTTTATTTGTTTACATTTGCATATTTTTCTTGCCTCAATAAAACAATTATGCTCACTTCACTTTACAATTTTTCTTGCCTTGGCCATACTTTTTTTCTATCTGTTCATACCATTTCCATTGCATATTTTCCTTGTTTATATTATTAGACTTAGATACTTAGGATTAGTTAGTGACACATATTCCTAGCTGTAGAAATCTTTTAAAAGCCCTCCAATCCCTGTGGAGACGATAACTCACTCACTACTATATTACTTGCATCGATTGTGTACACTTACACAGATTTGTTTGCCTTATCATATACATTTACAAGCGATCAAGTTTTTGGCGCCGTTGCCGGGGATTGGCAATTGGCGTTTTTAAAAGTTTTGTTATAGCATTATCTTGTTTCTTTATTATTATATTTTTATGGATTTATTCGCTATTTTTGT